TATGTCTACCTTATGAGAACTAAGGATGAAGCCTTTGACATGTTTAAAMTRTAYAAGACTGAAGTTGAAAATCAACTAGAAAAGAAAATTAAAATCCTTAGAAGTGATAGGGGTGCTGAATACTTTAAAAATGAGTTTAATTATTTCTATGAAGAATTTGGAATAATACATCAGTGTTCTGCTCTCTATACCCCTCAACAGAATGGCTTGGCCAAAAGGAAAAATAGAACACTTACAGAAATGATAAACTGCATGTTGTTAAAAGCTAATGCACCCTTAAACCTGTGGGGGGAAGCACTCCTAACAGCATGTCATTTACATAACAAAATTGTTTATAGAGTTAATAACAAATGCCCATATGAATTATGGACAGAAAAAAACCTAATTTAGCATATCTAAAAGTGTGGGGGTGCTTAGCATATTATAGAGTTTCGGATCCTAAAATAGCCAAGTTAAGACTCAGAGTTAAGAGAAGTATGTTTATTGGATATGCAGAACATAGCAAGGTCTATAGGCTTCTAAACTTAAAGTCCAACATAATAATTGAAACTAGAGATGTTGAATTCTTTGAAAATAAACTGTGTTTTGAATCCACAGAAAAGAGAACCTGAAAGAGAAACTCAGATCTCAATACCTGTTGATAATAATGATACTGAAAGAAGAAATGACACAACTGTAACACTTACAATAGGACCTAGAAGAAGTCAAAGACAAAGAACATAGAAACACTTAGGTTCAGATTTTATCTCTACTCAGTCAATTGTATTTTTGGCTGAGGCTGATAAAGAGAAGATTTTAAATAAGATACCCATTGTCCTGAACATTGAAAATGATTCAAAAACCTACAGTGAGGCCATGACCTCTAGAGATGCTGCATTTTGGAAGGAAGCTATAAATGATGAAATAGATTCAATAATGTCAAATAACACATGGGTACTAGTAAACCTACCTCCAAGATCAAAACCAATAAAATGTAAATGGGTGTTTAGAAGAAAATACAACACTGATGGAATTGTACAAACTTTTAAGGCTAGATTGGTAGTCAAAAGATTTAGTCAAAAGAAAGGGATTGATTACTTTGACACCTATGCACCAGTGGCTAGAACAACTTCTATTAAAACACTCATAGCATTAGCATTCATTTATCACTTATCTGTTCACCAAATGGATGTTAAAATTGCTTTCTTAAATGGTGATTTAAATGAAGAGGTTTATATGGAACAACTAGAAGGATTTGTTCTTCTTGGAAATGAAAAGAAAGTCTATAAACTGGTTAAATCATTATATAGATTAAAACAAACACCTAAATAGTGGCATGCGAAATTTGATTCTTGCATTCTAGCTTTTGGTTTTAAACATAATAGTGCTGATAGATGCATCTACTCAAATTTCACTGAAAATTATGAAGTAATTGTATGTCTTTATGTTGATGATATGATTATTGTGAGTACAAATATGGTTGGCATAAATGAAATTACAAACTATTTATCCTCTGCCTTCAAGATGAAAGATTTAGGAGAAGTAGATACCATATTGGGAATAAAAGTTAAAAAGCATAGTAGGGGCTATGCATTAAGCCAATCACATTATATCGAGAAAGTACTTGAGAAATTTAAGCATTTAGGGTTTAAAGAATATAGCACGCCATATGATTCTAGTATAAAGTTAGTAGAAAATACTAGTAGAGCAATTGCACAACTTGAGTATGCTAATGCAGTAGGAAGCTTGATGTATGCTATGCTTTGTACCGGACCTGATATTGCATTTGCAGTATGTAAACTCAGTTGGTTTACAAATAATCCCGGTGCAGAGCACTCGAAGGCAATTGGGAGAGTTCTTGGGTATCTCAAGAGAACCTTGGAACTTGGCTTGTTTTACTATGATTATCCACCTGTACTAGAAGGGTACACTGATGCAAGTTGGATTACCGGTAATAGAGATAACAAGTCCACCTCTAGATGGATTTTCGTCCTTGGTGGGGGTGCGATATCTTGGGCATCCAAGAGACAAACTTGTATATCTCACTCGACGATGGAATTCGAATTCATAGCCTTAGCAGTTGCTGGAAAAGAGGCTGAATGGATTATGAATTTATTATTGGATATAAAACTTTGACTTAGTCTTATGCCTCCAATTTTCATTTACTGTGATAGTGAGACAACTCTGTCAAGAGCCTACAATGGTAAGTCCAGACATATAAGTCTGAGACATGAATTTGTTAGGCAACTGATTCAAGATGGAGTCATCACTATAACCTATGTGAGGTCAAGTAAAAACTTGGTTGATCMTYTTACCAAGGGCTTKGCYAGRKAATTGGTAAGAATGACAACCAAAGAGATGTGATTAAAACCCTTTACTTAGTCACCTGTAATGGTAACCCAACCTGAACTGAAAAACCATTAGTATTGGGTTTAATGGGTAACAACAAGTTACAACAATGTGACTGTTAGTACTGACATTGAGAAATTTCCCATCACAACATAAACAGTGCTGTCTGTTATAATGAGAGGTTGAGTTAAACTCTTAATGAAGTCCTGAAATGTGTCAAATAACGGAACACATAATGGAACTTCACCTAT